GGGTTCTTGTGCTGTTTTGTATATGGGATTGGTAATGGTTTATTCCTAATATTTATTTCAAATATTTGCATCTAGATGCATGTAGATTCATTCAGTGAAGTGTGTGTCATTGCACAGCCCTGTACTGTTTAAATATATCACAGAATACATATCATATGACTAAAATGAAAAATTTCTGGTTATGTGTATATACCTTTTTACTGCTGAAAATTGGCAAGTCTAAATAATAATAATATAATTTGAAAACTAGGTGGCAGTAATACCCAGCCATACAGCTGCAATGATGGGATGACTCATACTTTTCTTAGGAATTCTCAATACGCTGCAGTCACATACTGAATGGCTTAGCTATTAACAAACATTTAGAAAAAGTAGAGGAAAAAGCGTTCATATAGGTTCATTCACTTAAAAAAAAAAAGTTAAAACATGATCTTCTGTAACTGAAAAGGAATAACAAGAAGAACTGAAGTGCATACTATGGGAGAACTAATTAATATAACGTGGCTTGTTTAATTATTATACACATTAGAAGCAATTTCCTTCCTACTTGCTTTGAGTGAGAGAACAGGAGGAGCCAAGATTACTTCTGAAACTCTTGTTTCTTGCGGTTGTGGCTGGGGTCCAGCAAGTTTTCTAAAGCCCATAAGCAGATTGCTATTCATCGGATGGTTATATTTAGTGTATGGGATGGGTATTCCTCTCATGCCAGTGTGAGCTAAAAGCAACATGACTAAAATCAGTGGAATTAGTCTGTAGAGGAACTACCAGCTTTAAAGCTCTCAGGAGTTCATGATGAACATCTTCATTTATTCAGAGGCATGGACTGAGGCTACAGTCCTAGAAGAATTAGACAACTGTAAGATTTACTGACTGACTTCATCATTTAAATGCAATATGCTCTCCTTAGATACATACAATTTAGTTGCACATGCAAAGAAGAATGTGGTGTCCCTCTCTGCTTAGTTGAACTGCTTGTACGAGAGGACTGTACACAAAGGTTTGGGGAACCCTGCCTGTCGGAAGTTATTCTCTGTCTGACAGTATTGGAAATGTGTAGTATTTGCTTTATTCCCAAGATTTGTTTTATTTGAAACTGAGTCACCTAAACATTCTCAGAACTGTCTGCACTGCCACAAACTCATCTTATTTCAGTGGATAGTGCAGAGATTAGTTCTGTTTTGATTAGACTGTCTTTAGCTCTATGACAAAGATCTTTTCATGTCTGTTCCTTCTCCCACAAATAGTTCTGCAGTTTGCAAGATCTCTTTGTATGGGCTCAAATTCGGAAAAAGTCAGTGGTGTTCCTGTCTGTAATGTAATCAGAGCTGGTGTGCTTACTCTTGCTTTACAATGAGAAATATTAAACACATTTTAATGCTTTCTTCTGTGCCATTTGGGGTCTAACAGGGGTATACCAATGAGCTCAATGCAGACACTTGCTTTTTTTATAGATATTTTCACAAAACTCTTCTATGACTACTTCTGCTCTTCTGAAACACGTGTAAAAGGATATGATGAGATCATAACTATCACTTACTGAAAAAAGGATCTCTTTCACAAGTTGTCCAGAGTATTCACGAAAAAATACCTCTACACAGACCTAGCAGTAATAGAAAGGCAATTATCTTAGCTGTAGGATCACTTCATAGTGGTGCATACAAGTCACAGGATGACTTGCTACCTTATGTATTGCAATTAATGATGAAGTTTTATCTTAAAACTAATTGTTCATTTTATTCCCAACTACTCTTGTTTTCCATAGCCTCCATTTTCACTCTCCCTGACCTAGTCTACATTTGCATAATAGTAAGCCTATCAAACCGGTATCTGAGGTGCTTTGTGAAAAGTGTGATAAGATTATTTTATTTATTTATTTTTTGCATATGTTCAGTTGTTTGTTGTATTAGGAAAAAATTGTCTTTTCTACCTGAGCCAAAGTCACTCTAACCACTCTAACCTAAACTGTCTCCTGAAGGGATGAAAGAAGGAGTTTTGACCTGTTCCTAAGGACATGGGGAATAGGATAGGCTTTGGGTAACTTACTACTTCTGTGAATAACAAGCACAGCTGGGGCCCAGCATAAATTTCTTCTTGCCTGGAGTATCTTAAGCCGCTATCCACACTTTTATGGGTATGCGGCCAGTTGTATGTACCTCACCTCAGCAGGTGGGAGTTTACCTATAAGCACCAAAAACATACTTGTGTTTTTTCGTTTATACACATCTTATAGGTTTAGGTGCTCTTGATGATGGACTATAGGCTTGCTCTTGCTCTCCTTTCTATGACACTGGCGGCATAGGGTCAAACCTAGTGAATACATTTGTTTCTATATGCCAGTGTTTTAAACTTTTTTTTTTTAATTACTTTTACAGAATTATATTGCCTAGAGTTCCTGTTGCTTATAAGAATGTGATTAAAAAACAAACAGACCAGGCTATGATAGGTATAGCTATCAGCAGTGCAAAAAAATGCAGGTAATTAACATGTATTACCTTAAGATCGCAGACACTTTACAATCGCATCATAAATAGTAGGATATCTGTGATCTCTTTCATGTCTGTGAGTCTGCCTTTGCTTTCACGTAAAGTGTTAACCAGATGACACTTTCTGACCTGTAATTTATTCTAACAGCCTCTAGAAGGCCAAAGCTCCTGTTGATGGAAACTTTGTCTAAGGAAGGAAAAAATGGGCAAATATAATCTCTGTGTGAATTTATTGAATTGTGTTCTCTTCCAAAGTCCATAGAAGTATATCTTGCAGAAGTCAGTGTTACCTTTCCCTCTGGAGGGGTATTGCAGAATTGTGCATAACAAAAGGGAATTAAAGAGGATTCTTTAGCCTTTCTGGGAAAAGCAGCAGTACCTTTCTTATTTACAGGAAAGCAAAAGTAAATATTTAACTTTGAAGACTTGGAAGTGAAAATACTATTTGGATCTATATATGCTGAGGGCCAAAAATCAGTAAAAGTATATAGGAAGGAAAATATGTTTCTATGCACTATTTTCCCAGTTAACCTGCATAAATTAGTAAAGAAAGGTCTCTCTGTTTCAGATAGCAAGTTGTGCATGACTTTGAAGGAAATGAATATACCTGCTTTAAAATGCGACGTATATCTTCACTTTTTGAATCTTCTAATGAGTTCAGAGACTTTTAACTTCCAAGTCTGCAAGTCAAAGACTATTTTGCCTTTCATTTCAGTAGGGTCAGGATTGAACCCAAGCGTTAGATTTCCACAGAAGTTACTTTTGCATTACATGAAAAGGAAGACTGAAAGTTTTACAGAAGAAGAAGTATTTGTTTCTAAACGAGTCTTTTTTGGCCCTGGTTCTGTCAATATGTAAGCACATTTTTCAAATGCACAGGAATCTTTAGGGTCAAGGACAATAGCCCTTAAAATCTTTTTTTTCATATGGTATAAGACTAAGGTAAGAATGCTGTCAATACTGTGAATGATATACACTGATTGCTATGAATGCTTTATATATTCCAGGCAGGAAGGAGGCAATTCCTATTTCTATTTAGAGAAACATTAATCTGCAAGCTTTCAAACTGTTTGGCACATGCTTTGTTTTATGCACGTATTCATCATGGTAAGCTTACATGCAGGTATAATATTAAGAAGCTAGCATTTGCAGGATTGGAAGCCTTAATCTAAATGTATACTAATGCTGTCATTGTCTTCATGGGAGCTTTTATCTACAGAATTTTTATCTAAACTATTCTTCTAAGAGAAGATAATATTAGTAGTGATGCATGTGTAACATTTTATACAATTGTGTAGGTCTTTCAACATAAATGATAACAAACACTTGCATACATAAGAGTACCTTTACCTGCAACAGTAATCCATGGTTTTCCTGGGATAGCCACAGCACATGACACAAGAGGATGTCAGAAGAACTGGTGAGCACCTGTGAAGCTACCAGTGCGGAGCATGGTTTCCCAAAGGAATATCTGGTCAGGATCCTTAGGTTAACTTTTCCGTTGCCTATGCAACATATAAAAACACCAGACCTGAATGATCATGTGTGGATAGGACGTAGGATTGTTGCTCAATCTGAAAGGGCCCAAGCCCTCATAAGTAATACAAGGGCAGTGATAGCAAAGGCTGAACAAACTTTGTGGTACACAATCTTTTTGTGTTGACTAAACGATTGCTGTTATCAATCTTTTAACTTTTTTTTTTCCTTAGTATTAAATGCAGGTAAGCCTTTAATGCAGATGTAGTTATACAAAACTAAAGTATGTTATACTCTCTTTTGAATAGATTTAGCTATACCTGCCTAAAGCAACTTTTACACCACTCTAACTGTGGTATAAACAAACTCTACTAAGATACATTGTATTATGCAGATCTATTTAACTTTACTAGCATTCTTTTGTATATAAACATTACAGTCAAGTCCTGAAAACTTTTCTTACTCTGCTGGAATCTGGGTTTCTGGGCTGGAGAATTGTCTTTAAAAAATCTAAAGATAATACCAAGCCTTATTGTAGTAGGAAGTCCTCTTTAGGCAATCAGAGTAGGAAACGTACTTCTTTTTGAAATTCAGAACATTTTTAGATTTTTCATATACTTAAATAAAAGAATTAGCGGTTAGGTAAAGTCTCATTTGGCTCATTTATGCCAGCTAAAAGGCTGACTCTTACAAGTGACTTTATGGATTCAAAAGGCTCTAAAATTTCTCTTGTTATTTCAATTTTTAATGTATTATGTGTTTTATGAAGTTTTCTAGCAGAAATATAGTGAGAAAACTGTATGAGATCTATACTGGTTTCTTGAATGATATGGTCAATAGGTGTATTACAACTTTTATTATGTATTTCCCAGTGAACTTGATAATCGTTATAATCTCTTAATTTTGTCTGTAAAAGATTATATAGGGATCTGACATTCATTGATTTTGTTGTAAGCTACTGTAGTTACCTGGATATCCGTTGAGTTCACTCGTGTGAAACTCAGTCTTATATTGTGTCTCTTATGTTGTACCTCTTATTAGGCCACCTGAACACTATTTTTGGGGACTGATCCATGAGTTGTGAGACTTGCTCCTGCACAGACCAGGAACAAGATGGAGCACAGCAATGTAAGCTGTTATTCAGCCTCCTGACGGTGCTTCAGTTCTGCTCTAAATTAGTCACCCTTCAGAATAAGAGGGCATAGCCTAACCTACTTACCTGCCTATGACCCTGTAGGCTGCTGCACATTAACCTGCCACCGAATCCTTGAGGAGGGTTTGCAGCCTCTCTCGGGACTGCATCTGACAATAGAGTGACTGCATCTGACAAAAAGAGTGACAGAAGTTCTTGATGAGAAAGGTAAGGAAAGAGTAAGGGGAAGGCTGTGAGTAACCATAAGGAGGAAATGAATATTTGTCTTTACTGTGGAAGAAGCTACTTTTGCATATGCTTGGTTGTTTGTTTTACTCTATGCCCAGACCAAACTTGTTGAGCATCTTCAAATGGTTTTTGTAGAGGTTTTTTCCTCCTGATTTTCTGACCTGATCAGAGATGCAAAAAAAATGCAATCTCTTGTTAAAACACAGTTGCCTTTTGTTTTGATCTTTTTTTTCCAGAATTTGATACTTTGGGTGCTTACCCGAACAGATGGAGACTGCTCAGTCTGCTTTTCTGTTGTTCTGCGCTTTAGGTCTGGCTTTCAAGCCAAATGCTCCCCATTCTTCCCTGCTAGGGCTTTACACCCACTTTCACAGCTCACTTCACATTTCCCTAATATACAGCATATGCATATATATGAATGACTGATCTTAGTTTTCACTTCTGTTTTGCCTTACCTTTAAAGATACCAAAGAGTCTTACAGATTGTAATAACGTATACCCCTGAATGTCTGTATGGAATGTGAGTTGGTCTAATCTTACAGATGATGATCCCCTGCAGAAGATTCCAACAGAATTTGATCAAATTAGTAATGTTTCTATAGGTTTCTGTAGAACAAAATAGTGATATTTTTGGTAAGATTTTCCAAAGTTGGAAAAACTGGAACACCTAAAAAATGGAACACATTCTCTGTTACGCTATATATATGTTTAGGGAATGATCTATTTAACTCTACACATTTCTATAAAATCAGCTGAAACGTTATTACAATCTAATATATCTTATGCAGATAGGAAACAAGACATAGACAAAGAGACTTTCTAAAAACAAAAGATATTCTGTGACATTGGCAAGAATGAAATTGAAATCTCTCTTCTCTTCTCTTTTCTTGCATCAGGAGGAACTTCCTGACACATTCAAATCTCCATCCTATGCCCTGCTAATGTTTTGCTGCTGTACATTTAAATCAGTGTGATATGGCTCCTTGGAACCAATTCTTTGAGTGTCACTTTTGTGCTGAAGAAAATCACCTCTCCTGAGTATCTTCTAGAGGTGGATGATGTTGGTAAAGGAGACTGGCTTTGGAATTTGGTGCCGTGAGTATGTGGGCACATTTGTCAGCAGCACCTCTTCCATACCTGCAGCCGCGCCACTCCAGCCTTTTGCAGTGGGAGAGTTTGGCCTTAACAACACAACAAACTGCCTGTAACTTTTTCTCCTTGGCTCCCACTGCTGCTTTTGGGCAGTAGCAGAGGGCAGAGCAGGGGGGCTGGGAGAGGCATTGCCTCTCAAAAGCATTTATATCTGCTGTCTGCAGAGCCCACCCAACTCTGAGCAGCAGGTCTCCATGGAAGTCAGCACGCCTGCTCCCCACATGCTTTGTACAGCTGCTCTTACAGGTGCAAAGGCAGCCTGAATGTGTTTATCTACACCTCATTCCCTTGGAGTGTGAGGAGGGTGGAGGTGAAAGTAGCCACTGAGCAAAGTTATTACATTGACTGTTTTCTGCGGAATGCTTCCCCTTGAGAATACCAAGTGTCAGTTTTCAAATGGAAAATATTCCATGGCCCCCACATAATACAGACACTGCAGAGTTACGGAACATTGCTCTTGAAATCTGTCATGAAATAAATATATATGTGAGGTTATAAAAATGGGTTTTGTATAAACTGCCCTCTTTTAGCAAACATTTCACTTCCTATAATTGTGTGCGCTTTTGTTTGAACTTATCAAATATGTGATTGTTCTCCTTATCCTTCAGGGAGATAAGAAATCCACCCTCAGGATATGCAGAATGATGTTGTTGTAATCATTCTTCAAAGGGAGATCCACAGTAAACAAATGTTGTTAGCCTGTCTCCTCTGCAGCTTCTTTTGGTGAGCAGCAGAACTTCATGAAAAAGACTGGAAATAAAGAGGAGAGAGCTTTAGCTGAATTGTAAGTAGATATTTTTCATCTTTCCAGTCCCAGGAACGATCAATTGTTATAGGTCCGTGTAAGAATATTCACCTCAAAAATGTTTTTATATAATTTTTTAAAGCAGAAAATGTTTTGCCTCAGAATCAGTTGACTCTTTGAAGCCTGCCAGTATTGCTATAAGACAGCAAGACTGGGAAACAAAAGTTTACCTGAAAAAAAAAGTGCTTGGACCAGATAACACTATATGACAGCAATAGGACTTCAAGACTTGAGGTACATGAAGAATTTTACTGTTGTTGTTATGCATGCCAAAATCACACCCCCTCATCACTGCTGCTATGGTGACAAAATTTGTAAATGCAGATTATGACTTACAGCCACCTTTTTTTTTTTTTCTTTTCTGCAAAGATAATCCTCCTAAATATTACCAGATCAGCCCTAAGGAATCAAAACTTTCCAGTCCAGTTAATAAGTTGAGTGGCCATAGTGTTCAAGGTTTCCTAGCCTGTCCAGTAAGTGTGTTTCACCTTTGCCATGAGGACACTGTCTCTGAATTGAAGAACCCAGCCTCTCCAGTCTTCCACTCTAGGGCTTTTAATTTGAAACTCCTAACAAAACCGTGCAATGTTAACATAGATGTGGTCACTTTTTGTGCTGTGGACACAACTGAAACAGGGTGGGGTTAGGATCACTGCCTTACTCAGCTGAGGGTTTGAATCCTCTGGAGGGCAGATGCACAACATTTGTAAGCACAAGCTCAAACATGATCAGTTGGAAAGAAGAACATGTTCATATGTTATCTATATTCTTTCCCCATGAAAAACTGTTCCTTTTCGCTTAAGCGCAGTGGGCAACAGAATAGAGCTAACCTTCTAGCCAGTGTGGAGGTGCTTTGCTCATTTCTGCATTCTGTATAAAGTCAGACTTGCGTTAGTATGCAACAGATTTCTGCTCACGGTTGCTTACCACTCAAGGAACTGGAAGTTGAAAGCCCAAAAGCCACGTATAATACAAATCCTTGTTTGTTAATATTGTCTTCCAGTGGAATAGATGGAAATCTGCTCTTTGGTTTCTTACCCACCACTTCAGATTTGAAAGAGTTGGAGAGATCTCTCATTAGTTCTTGTAAACAGTTAAGAGAACGGAATCCAGGGATTATAAATTAGAGGTTTGAAATGATTTATTGTCACATGGTTTAAATTCTTATCTGAACTGGATCTGTAATTCTGAAACTTCTGAGGTTTGCTGATCCCTAATATAATCCCTAATCCATAATATAGATCTTTAAGGTCAAACTGAAATCAGTGAAGTTAAATAGTGCTTAATGCAGGGATAATAAAAACCAGAAGGTGATTCATATGTTGTAGGATTAAGCTACATTTGCTGCATAATAAGTGCAGGAAGAATCATCTATTCTTTTCATATTTTGAGCTCTTTCTGACAACTGTAGCTGAAAAAGGTGGTATTGTAAATCAGAGAAAGAGAAGAAAGCATTCAGTGCCATTGTCAGTACTTACCAGATTTCGGTCTCGGTTAGAAAAGCGCTTGTCTAATTTTACCACTATTCATGAAAGTGCTTCTGGATATGCTTAATCTTAGCATGCTTAAAGCTACCATGAGTTTAAATGTCTTCCTGAATCTGGGCCTCAGATATCTCCTTGCCTCCAGTTCTGTTGTGTACATTTTAACCTGTGCCAGGTTTCTAGAATTGAAACAAGCAACCGCTGCTCACAGTGTTTGTGCTCTGTTTGTAATAGAAAGGTTGGAGTCATACATAAGGATTCATCTTTGCAAAAGGAAGGGAAAGCGTGGAACTGCAGTCTTACAACTTCGAATAGCTAGTGCTGGTACACATGGTAGCAGCTGAGAACCACTGCAACAGAGTATTGACTGCTTTATTGAGAAGATGAATTGCGGAATGTTATCATCTTTAAGAAAGGCTTTCTATCTTCCCCTTTTCTAATCCTCCTCCTGAAAAGCACTGGAAACATTTAATTTATTTACATTTGAAAAAGTCCTAACCGAGGAAAGTATTTTAGCAAATTTACACATATGTTTTGAGTTAAGCATATGCTTAGGTATTTTGCAGATTAATCTTACTATTTTGCACTTTAATTTTATGGTTTCCTGCTGTACCTTTGGTTAGAAATCTTACCTACAGCTAGAACTTGTCTGCTAATATTAAAGGTCTCATGCATTCTCAATGGTTGTCATTCCCCCAGCACTCAGATCAAACAAATCCATTAGAAAATGTAAATCCAAGTTGATTTTTCTTGCTTTGGAAACAAAGGCTCAGTTGTTAGAATCCAAGCGTGTCTTCTATTATCTAAGCATTTTTTTGCAGAACGCACGTGGATTCATATCCCTCAGCATAGTGCATCCTTTGTTTGATTTGCTTTCAACATTTTTGATACAGATGATTTTCCTTTTTTCTTTTCTTTGCTAAGAAAGGTAGTTTCATTTTTCATCACTTCTTTTCCAAAGAATAAAATGTTTATCTTTACAAAGCTTTCATCGAATGGTAATCTATAGCATATTAACTGTTAATTCATTGGAAGGATACTTGGTGACTACAATAGTGAAATATAAACTTTGTCTCTATGGAATCAAGATTTCCTCTATTGCTATTACCTCAAGATCAACAGGTAAGAGTTTTGTAAACACTTTCAAAATTATATCCGCATCTGAGCACCTTCACCAAATCAAATTTCAAAGTTTTTAGCACATCCAAATTCTGCCCAAGTCAGTGGGAGCTGTAGGGGCTCAGCAATTTAAAAAACAGACTATTGTTTTCAAGGTGCTTCAAGATGGATTAAGAAGGCTAAATCCAGACAACAAGACTGAAAGTGTTGGCTTTTATTTCCTTTGTGTCAAACTAATTTCACTGTCCCTGACGGCTGCTATTATTCATCAAGTGTATGGATATTAGATTCTAGCCCTTCTATGAACACAGGAGTTTTGTAATGTTAGCTAACTTGCTGAAGTTCTTCTGGACACTAAAAGGCCATAAAAATGCCATTTTTAATTGCCTCTTTCCAATGGTACGTCTAGACACACATGGCCTTAAGTAGCTGCATGTTTTCTATTTGAATCTACTTGAATGAAGGAACATTAACTCCCATACAGCTACAAAGGTCCGTTCTCAAAGAAATTCCATTGAACATATATAACCCTAGCTGTTCCATTTAAAATTTTCTTGAGAATCCAGCTACTTTCTTGTTGGCACTTCCTTCAAATAGCTCATGTCTACTTTTGCAAAATTAACTTGTGTCGATATGATGGTCTTATTTGCCTACCGTTTTAATTCTGGCACAAAGAAAACTGAGAAAAGAAAACTATTTACTCCACTGCTGTTAGAGAATTTGTTCAAAGCTTAAATTTCACATACCCTGTATGATTAGGTTTACAGTGTTTTGTTTGGCTGACTATTGACTGATACTGCAAGAAAAAAGCAAGAGCACATGTTATCCTTAGCTACCACTTTGAATAAAATCTAAAGCATCTAGGAATAATTAACCGGTGTGAAAATCAAAGTGGTCAGTCTTTGTTAGGAAACAATCAGTAAAGGAGTACAAGTAAACTTTGTAATGGTTTGATCTCACCATTGCGCAGGTACATGCAAATATTCATAACACTCTCTCATGCTCGTTCCCATGTTCTTCTGCTGTTTTTTAAGCAGGAGATTTCTCAGGAACAATCCCTGCTCAAATGAGTTCCTGGACACTTTCACCCATATGAGAGAGGAGAAAGCTACAGGTGTGCATATTGTACAAACGCACTGCCAGAAATAATTACGTCTGACAGCTCTAAATCCACAGTCTGCTTAGAGTACCTGGCTAGATATGCTATAGACATAATACCACATGTTTTGGTTAAATGCTGAAATGCTCTGTGAAATCTACCTTCTTCATAGCCATTTAACTAAGTGGAATTATTTATATGCACCTTTCAGAAATAGGGTTTAATTAATATAAGACTTAACTAAGATCTACAATAGCAAGGATAGACAGCATGTTTTTAACTGCAAAAACCACAATTACCAGAAAGACTTCTTGTATTGTTGCCCGACCCAAACTACAGGAATTCTCTCATTACTTTTTTTCTGTTTATGCAGATACCATATCCGGATGGCTGAGCAAATTAATCTGTAGAGAAACAAAGCAAAATGCAAGTTAACAGGTTTCTGATTTTGCCTATGGAAATAAGCTTCAAGCCCGAGGTTGTGATCTGTGTAAATTAAATATAACCCTTCAGTATTAGAAGATAACTCCACTCAGGCCACTTAAGGACAAAAAACGAGGATAAAAATGTGCCAAGGGTCCGCGCCGTAATGCCACATTACAGTACCTGTTGTGTGAGAAATAAAAAATAATGATTTTACAAGCTTCTGTGTCCTCCATCTGTTACTTGAAATTAGAAGAAGCAAATACTCTAGTGTAATGATTTCTCTCTTTGCTTTCACAGTGCTAGCTTGGAGCTGCTTATTTGCCACTCAAGTTTATTGCTCACTTGGACTTTAAATTGGTTCCTTCTGAGTGAAGCAAAGATTGTACTGGCCTAAATGTCACTGGAGTTAATATATTCTAGTTTCAGTCTCTATTTTTCTCTTGGAGCCGTTTAAATTACCTTGTATTTCAAGGCTTGAGGACAAGGTCACAGTCATGCAAAGAATTAGAAGTGTGGGACATTTCAAGTTTGCTTTCAGTATTTTAAGAGAAACAAGTTCCAACACAATTATTCCTGAGCTTAGAAAACAAAATAACTATAGCGGTAATAATAGCGGTCATTATTACATAAAGTCACTGACTCAGTGATGTATTCTTCAGCAAAAGTGAGGGGGAGTGACTAGCCAAGCTGTATAAAGAACAATGTGTAAATCATACTTGGAGCTGGAGAACTCCTTGGCCATGAGTAATTCTGCTGAGGATTTTCGTCTCATTTTTCTGATGAACGGTCCACTCCATTTGCAGAGGCCACAGCCACCCTGAGTCTACTTGTGCTGCCACATAGTCTCCACACAATAATACCTGGTCTGTCAGCTGTTTGAGAGTGAAATATTAGAACAACTCAGTATGTAGTTGTGCTGGTTACAAACACGGCTCTCCTAGTATGTGTATGAGTGTTCAGTAAAAAACAAAATATTAGTGTCTAGTATCCAGGAATATTCTTCAGGGAGAATATGCACAATTATTAATTCATTTTAATTATTTATTAAATATTTAATTTTAAATGTTAAGTTCACTTTCTATGATAATTACCAAATTATTGCATTCTGCTAGTTACCTGCTCATGGCAGTTTTCCTGAAAAACAAAGGCAAGGGGTGTAATCTAGCATAAGCAGTTTTTCTAAGAAGTGGACTCTGATATTTTGTAGCATTCTTGTAGTTCCAGCATTATTCTGTGTGCTCTGAGGTTTTTCAAAGTTTGTTGCTACATCTCATCTTACTCATATATAATATTAGCAAAGCAGTGTCAGAGTTTTCTCACATTATGGGAAATAATTATCTGCATGTGACAACTCTCAGTCACACTTGTGTAAATCTCACTGACTGAAAAGCTGGAGAAACTGGGAATACGTTTGAGCATATAACACAGAATGACCATGGCAGGGGATGAATTAACAGAAGCAATTACTATGATAGAGAACATCGGTGAGCTCCAAGCAGACTGTGCATAATAAGCAGACACATTAGAGACAAGAAGAGTAGAAAGTAAGGCTCAGATTTTCAAGACTGGTCCACCCTATCAGGCCACAAAAAATCTTGAAATCTTGAGATTTTGGTAGTGTTGAATGAAATCCTCTTCCACGATTTTTGCTGGCAGAGTCATTTCAGAGGTGTGAACTTCAAATGGACCAAACAAAGGAAAACACTATGCTGTCCAAGAGAATTTCAGTATTTCATTTCTGGACACTTTATATTTTATGGATGCTAAATATAATGTTGAAAAGGGAAAAGTAGCCCTACAGCTATCATTTTACTCAAATTTTAAGTAAAATTAATTTCCTTAAATAAAGCTTATATTAATATTTGCTATAAATCCTTTTTATGTAGGTATGTATGCATGCTTCCTGGTCTTTAAATGCCCAAACAGAGGTTTGTACGACCTAAGGGATGCAGAGATGTGCTGTAATACTAAGTCAGGTACTGTTATGCCACAGTTCTCTAGTAACATTTTCTTCTATTGTCCTTCCATAGACCAGACATATTCACCTATTGTACAACCTTCTGTGAAATAAACAAACAGATAAAATGAGTAAAAACAGCTAAGGAAGAAAAGAGGGACATATAAACCAGAATCACTGATAGGTCACTGAGCATGAACCGTAGGTTTCTGGAGGAAGAATATAAGATACAAGGCAATAGGGAAGAACTCACTTTGAGCTTTTGCCTTTTTTTTTGTCTTTTGTCTATATTTGTCTACTTACTATGTAGGCCTCTTTCTTGTCTCTTAAGAGTGTAATTCACTTTCCTTTGCCTTATTGGTTTTCTGATACTGCTTATAGAGACAGTTCCATATGCTGAATACTTTCTATATTAACTACGATGTCTAAATTCACTTTCTGCTCTCAGCTTCTCAACTGAAAACGTAGCCATTTCCTGTGTTCTCCTGAAATAGGGGCAGCTGGGACAATGAAATCCCTAACCAATCTCCATTTTGATTCATAATCTATTTCTCTTGCTTGTCACTCTTTGTTTTCTCACCTAACACAGACATATACTTATCATGCATGTTTCAAAAGGTTAGTTGATTATTGCAGACTCCAATAAATTGCTTATAATTCTAGCTTCTAAGTGGTTTTCACACTTAGAATACATCCCCACTTTCAGGGAGGCTTTTAACAGCTATTAATAATTTTTATGGACACTTGTTAAGCAGAACATTAACTGAAAAATAGAAATTAATTTGAAAATGTGTCCATTTTTATCTTTGTTTTGCTTATAAGGTGCTCATAAAAATTAGGAAGTGATCTGAAAAATTATCAAATAGCAAAAACCCAGTCATTCAATTATTTGCATAGGGCAAAGTGAAATGATTTGCATAAGCTGTTCTGAACAGAAAATGCTGTAATGCTGATAATTCTGGATGCAAGAGGAGAACGGGCAGATCTGTGCTTACTGTAAATTTGATATGTGCGTTGGACTGGGGTCAGAAGAAAGCTGGAATGAAACGTTCCCTTTTCATGCCCTGTTTCTTAAGGAGTTGGGTGGCTCCAGCATCTAACGTTCCTATGAAGGAAAGCTTGCTTATGTTATTTGCAGCAAATCCAAAGCTTCAGCTAAAAGTTGTGGCATATCAAACTCGTAAGTGCAGTATTCAGGGAAATATGATGTTGCAATGCACATTACATCAGTACTATAGACACTGTACACTTGGTACTGCTGTTGCTTAAAATTGCTGACTT